AATTGATGTGTAAAAGATCACGGGTGTGTGGATACAATTCAAGTTAAGGGATTGGTGTTGACGTGATGTCGGGTGGTGCGACAATCATGAGTACTTCTACGAGTTGACGGGTGGTCAACAGTTGACAAAAAACCCCCGATTTTAGGGGCATCACATTTCTTGCTGTAAATCGATAGTTGGATCCAACATAGCTTTCTCTATGCTTTACAAAAGTGCCAAGAATTGAACAAACATAGACATGGAAACTGGTCCTGGACCACTGGGTGATCAATGGAACCCCACTTTTCTTTCTAGAGATGATCACCCTAAAGTCATAGCGTGAGTAGAGTAAGTGAAGACGATGATGGCTTTCGAGCATATCCTAATCCTTACAATATGCCTGCTCTCAATTGTAGATGACTCACCACATATTTCTAAAAATCCACTTATAAATAATGATTCTTATTTAAATTTATGGTACATAATTGACGCCGTAAGAAAATAGAGAAAATGTGGCGTTTGGAAAAAACAAGCTAAACTCCAAAAAACTAAAAAACGCTAGTGAGATATGAATCCAACATTTAATATAAAAATCAAGACATTTGAGCGACAAAAATTGTACACCGGTGCTCCTTTCATCGCATGCCGAAATTTGTTGACCGGTTGGCGAACTCACTTGTGACAAAATCAAGTTTTCCTAAAGCGGCAAGTGTGAGAAAAATCTCGCAACCTCTACTCTAATCAAAAGACTAAAGGCCACTATCAAAGATTTTAGGTCGTCAAATTATGATGAGAGTTTTGTCTTTAGAAGCACCAATTATGTAGGGCAATTAGACCAGGCCGAGTTAGAAAAGCTTTGATGATGCAAGGTTCATATATAAGGAAAGGAAAGGGGGCAGCCTTTTGCCCGATCATTCGATTTGCTCTAACAAACAGGTATGATTTTGTAATCAAAGCAATTTCGTCACTTTCACGTACCCATTAAATAGCTACCTTTTCAGGGGTTCCTTGGAAACCAATTTACTCTACGTAAATTGACTGAACATAATAAAAACCTTCCACTGACAATTGATCATATTTTTCACCGGACTTTTCGTTACTCATATTAACATTTTCACTTTCATATCGGAAAAGATCCCAAGTCCATGTTTTTCTAGTGCAACTGCAGGGGAGTTTATTTTTTTCTCTTACGCGGGACCTATTTAAAACAAAGGGCCACTAGTTCAATCTTTCCTGTGTACACAAAGTACAGTGTAGGGCATCTAATAGGCCAGTGTCCTATCACCCTTGGCTCTTCCATTGGGCTTGGTTCATGATTTGTAACAAAACATACCATCTACCACCTGCTTTTGTGTGCAACACATAAATAGGCAACTTGGTACATGATTGTTGAATGGGATTTCCAACCAAACCAAGCAAACACTGAAAGTAATTTTTTTTTCCCCTCATCATCTCTTGTGGTCCATGTGGGCATCACTGGTCCATCATGTGATGGTGATTAATGCATGCATCAGCTAATTGCTTATGCTGGAATACCATGCAACATAATTGAGGAAATGAAAGCTTACCATTGGATTCGGATGTTAATATGTATCTCTGAGTCTTAATACTTGAAATTTAGAACTGCTAAAATTCAAAATAGCTTAAGTTATATATACATTTTAAAGATCAAGTTATAATAGTAATTAATCATGAAATATTGGGATCGATCATGAATAGTTGTAACTTATCCTTTAAAAGTGTAACTTGACTTTCGACAATAGTGTTTTTTGATACATAATCAAGAAAGTATTTTGGTATCATAATTACTAAAAAGAAAAAGACAAAATTGTTATGGTTATGTGAATGTATAGAAAAACCTGCTTTGACTTCGGATGCCTTATTAATGAGTAAAGCAGCAACCACGATATTGAAGAGTTAAAAGTAATATGATATAGTATTGTTGCATAGGATATATCTGATTCTTAGTGCTCTATAAACTTTGCTGCTGCCATATTGACTTATGGTTTCATGGAAAGTAATAAGGAGATGCTTGCGAAATCATCCTATCAATATGGTATAAATCACTTTTTTCTGAAAGGTTCAAACACTCTCAGCTGAATGAGAGGCTTTATCAGATTTGGCAACTCTTCAGTAGTTGTCTGATTTAGTTTTTGGTTGCTAAACTGACAGAATTTTTGGGAAAGTATTAATTCAAGGCTATTACTTCCTCTGAAATTCTGCTAGATCACTACAAGAAATATTGGAAAATCTGGCATTTCATTGCCGGAGTTTGGTGTAAACGCTACTAACACCCGCGTTTGTGTTTAAATGCCAAAAAATTTTTAATAAAAAATAAGAAAAATCTTTTTTTTTTTGGCATTTAATTTCCGGCGTTTACGTTAAACGCCACTAGCAATTGTTAATTTAAAATAATAAAAAGCTTTTTTTTTCTCTCCCCAACATACACCTAAATCGTTTTCCCCAATTTATTCGTGCCTCTCTCTCTCCATCCGACTCCTCACCCCGTCAATCTCTCCGTCGACTCCTCTCCCCGTCGATCTTTCCGTCGACTCCTCTCTGTCCTTCTCTCAGACGCTGGGTGCACTTCCAGTGTGATTGATTGGCTACATACATTTATGATTTGCTAGCTAGGGATTCATGACTCTCCTTCGCCGTGGATCTCTCTCCAGCGGTGATCGTATGAAGTCCTGCAATTGCTTTGCAGCTCCGTTTCCTGCTCTTTTGCGGAATCAAGTACTTAATCGAAGCCGAATTCAAGTGAATGCAAGCGAAGTACTTTCTGTAAAATTCGTTCGGTTCTAATTTTTGCTGAATACAAAAAAAAAAAAAACAATCAGGTGAGAAATCGATTTCATTTTGTTATTTTTAATATTTTATCAGCTTGAATTTATCATTAGGACATTTTATACATCAATACATGTATGCATTATGTGACTACTTTCCTATTCGTTTTTTGCCGAGATGTCACCATTTGTTTATATTTCTAGAAGACCGAATTAGATTCTATTGATGACAATTTGGACAGTGAATAATATTCACTTGCTGAACCAGGATTTAATCATATTTGAATGTGCTAAGTTATGGGTTTCCTTTGAAGTGTAATTAAGAAAGAAAGTGCTAAGTTATGGGTTTCGACTCACAACTTCTGCCAAAGTAAATTGCTAGGTTGTTAGTTTTCTGTCAGTATTCAGGGGAACACTTTGTGAATGTAGAAGTTTCTGATCAGAGTTGATCACTGCCAATGTTTTTGTTGTTGTTCATTTCATTATCTTGGCAGTTAAAGTTTTGTTGTGATAGTTATAAAACCTGGCGTGGTTTAGTGTAAATCCTGCTCATAAGTTGCTCTTTCCATGGAAATAAAACAAGTTGATCAAAGATGTTCCAAACCATGCAAACAAAGTTTTTTTTTGTGTTCAATTATTTTGGTATCTTAAAACCGCATATGTTTGATGATTCAGATTTGCAAGCATATCATATTGGAATACATTTATGGATAAGAGTTGGATACATTTACATAGACTGGATCCATTGTACGAAAAAGGAGTTAAGAATTTTATCAAGTTTGCATGTGAAAATAAACCACATGCACCGGAACTCACGTGCCCATGCAAAAAATGTCGTAATGTTAGACTGGTAAAAGTGAAACTTTTGGAAGAGCATTTGATTGTAAATGGGTTTCTTGAGAGTTACACTCGTTGGATTTTTCATGGGGAAAGTTCATTTGCTTTGGTTTCTAGAGATAATGAATTAAATGACTCTAGTTTGGGAGATGAAATTCAAGAAATGTTGCATGATGCATTTGGGATTCCTCCTCCAAGTCCAGTTTGTGGAATGAGTAGTGACGAACCTGAAAGGGATAATAGAGAAGGGCCAGATCAGGCGACAGAAAAGTTTTTCAAACTATTGAGTGAAGCTGAACGAAAGTTATCTCCGGGATGTACCAAGTTTTCGACATTGTCGTCTGTCGTTCAATTGATGCACATCAAGTGTCTTAATGGATGGAGCGACAAGTCATTCACAATGTTACTTCAAGTACTAAAGGATATGTTACCTGAGGGTAACACGTTGCCCACTTCATTTTATGCAACTAGGTAGTTGATTAAAGAGTTAGGTCTAAATTGCATTAAGGTACATGCATGTTCCAATGATTGCATGTTGTATTGGAAGGAGACAGCTACTATGAATAACTGTCAGAAATGTCAAACATCTAGATATAAACAAATTGATGGTCAAGAAGATGAAACAAATATTGAAGGGTAAAAAATTCCGCAAAAAGTTGTAAGGTATTTCCCTTTAATACCGAGACTTCAGAGATTGTTTATGTCATCAAAAACAGCATCATTGATGAAATGGCATGCAACAGACCGAACAAATGATGGGGTACCAAGACATCTAGCTGATTCTCTTGCCTGGAAAACTCTTGACCAGTTGTACCCCGATTTTGCTAGTGATGCACGTAATGTTAGACTTGGATTAGCGTTTGATGGGTTCAATCCATATAGGACAATGAGTATTTCTCATAGCACATGGCTTGTTATTTTAATGCCATACAACTTACCGCCATGGTTGTGTATGAAACAACCTTATATGATATTAACACTGATTATTGATGGTCCTCGTGCTCCCGGGAATGACATTGATGTATACTTGCGCCTTATAGTGGATGAATTGAGGGAGTTGTGAGAGGTTGAATTTTTTAAGGTTGCATATTCAAAGAAAGATGGTCGACTAGTTAATGATGTTGTTGCACAAGCGTTGGTATGTAAATATTGGCAAGAAGATGTTCACTATTTATCCATTCTTATTTCGCCTATGTCTTATATTTGTTTCAAATTATTTTTTGCTGCAGTCAGACATGGATGAACTTATGTCACAAATGCCAGTCTTCTATGTAATCATCATCAGCAGTAGATGAAGTTTTCACTCAAGTCATGGGACCGGAGTGACCTGGACATGTTAGAACATATGGTTTTGGACCATCTCTGAGAGATGTGTTTGGACATAAAAAATCAGAAGAAATGCAAGCAATGCAATCCCAACTAGATGAGCAATTTAGTAGACATAATGCAGAGATGGAGGCTCAGCAGGCACAAATGGAGAAGCAAATGAGTCAGATGGAAGCTAAGTTTGAGGCTCAACAAAGACAATTTGAGGTTTTTCTCGTTCAAATGCGTGCAATGGGTATGCCTATTCCTGAACTAGCTCGCAAAAACACAAATCCACTTCCGGTTGAAAAGGTAATAAAAACTTCAGCGACTTATATTTTGAGTTAGAATAGTTATTGTATTATCATATTATTTTTCTTCATGAATATTAAGTATTTACAATCTTAAAAGGTACCTGATGCATCTAGTACTCATAATATAAACTCCCATCGATCATCAATGAGGAGTGAGTCAAGAAGTCCGGCAGTGCGAGACACAGAGTTTCGCGGTCATTCTAGAGCATCTTCATTTGGTCAGGTGAGTCAATGAATGGGATAGTAGCTCAAATATTACATGAGTTTGTTGACTGGTATTGATCTTGTTGCAATTACTTTCGTTCTGACCATAGCACCTGTACTGAGACTCATGGCTGTCCATATTCTGCCAGTCCATATTCTGAGTTTTGGCAATTACTGTTTGACTCATGTGGTTTGGCATATCTGTGGGACATCATATTACCTTATTATTGCTTGATTTTTGATCTGAGTCAGTCGGTTGTGCTTCATATTTTGCATGCTGTATTATGTTGTATTATTGTTTTATGTGAAATTCATGTGTTAATTTATATTAAATGTGGGTTCATCAACAAAAGAAAGCAAAATTGCAGCGTGCTAATAACCGTGCAGCGAAATTCCCGCCCAAGTGACTCTCTCTCTTCTATGCCATGCAACGAAATTCTCCCAATGATGGACGTGGTATTGACTGAAACAAAACAAACACCATCTTGACCATGAAACAATGACGAGGGTTTTCATCGTAGAGTTTGAATGAGCATTTATGATACTGAAATCAAAGTTTATGCTTAATTAACAGCTTCTGGTTAACTCTTTGATCACTTTTTGGAGTTGGGTCAGTTCTGAAGCTTCAATTTATTGTGTTATTTGTTTTGTTCAGACACTGCTGTAAGGGTGGGGTATCTGGTTCTGGCTACTTCTGTTTTATGGCTGAATAGTAAAAGGGTTGACTGATGGAGGAGTAGTCTTCACCAAGTTTTGATTATAAAATGACCTGGGTTTTATTATTAAAAAAAAAATATTAATTATCAGTACCGGTGTTTGGAAAAAAATAATTACTAGCGTTTAAATAAACGCCGTAAAATAACTCCAGTCACCGAAATTTTAAAAAGAAGTTGTCGATTAAATAAGTGCCGCTTAGGTGGGTAGCAAAAGTCATTATAGTTTTTGTGGCGTTTAATTATACGTCGGTATTTAGACGGAGGTTTCATCGACGTTAACAATAAACGTCAATAATAACATTTTGTGACATTTATTTATATTTAGCGGCGTTTATTAAACGCCGATAAAAGTTTTTCTCCTTGTAGTGGATTAAGCATCTTGGTTTTTTTTTTTTTTTTTGGTTTTTGGTTTTTAGATTGGTGTTTCCTATTGTGAGAACATGATCCATGCATGTTGTTTCTTTGATGAATAGAATTACTTTAAACTTTTGAAAAAAACCATTTTTTTTTCTGCATTCAAGTAAGATCCACTATCTGCGAACATGTTTATGAGAATAATACACGATAGATAATTTGTTACCAGAAGAAATTAAAGAAAAAAATGTATTTGAGTGAGATAAATCATGGTTAATCTTAACAAACCTAAATTCCACAAATTCCTAAATAACTTAATTAAGCCAGCCTAAGGTATGAAGTTTCGATCAGTTTTGAGTAAGAGAATGGTCACGTGTATATCATATCCTGTTTCCGTGAAATTGTTTTTGCTCCAAAGAAAGTAAAAGTAAATTCAAAATTTGATTAGGGGCAATTTGGTCTTTAAATCTCTTATATAAACCTACCTATCCTTCCTCATCTTTTGCTCCCTTTTTTTTCGGTACATTGGAAAAGTATAAATAAACTAACAAAAGCCTCTCACGTAAAAGATACTAGCACTATCATTTCTCAAAAGCTCTCCCATTGAGGTGGGTTGGGAGTTGAGGATCACCAATCCATCATTCTGCTTGACACCCAAATTTGCAAGGTAGTTAGCGCAGAAGTTTCCTTCTCTTCGAGTGTGATGGATGGGGCAGTTGAGCAGGGTGAGCAGCCTCTTGCATTCAGCTATGATCCCTCTCTCCGGGTGAGTTTCTTCCCCTCCTGCTGTGAGTAGTCTATGGGCGTCCAGGGAATCATTTTCCACAATGATATTCATTATCCCTGGGCCTGAGTAATCTGAAGGCCTTTGTAGATAGCCTAGAGTTCAGCTTGAGCGCTAGAGCAACTGGGAAGTCTTCCATAAAACCCAAGTTGCCAGACTCCTTGTTCATTTCTGACAACTCCTCCAATCACTGCAGGTCCTTGATTCCCTTTGGAGCATCCGTCAACATTCAGCTTTATCCAACCTGCAGGAGGGAAAGACCAACTAATTAGATTCTCGGGGCAATGGTCTTTGCACTCAAGGTTTTCAAGGAAGGCAAAATTAATTTCCTGTGCCAAACGCCCTGCATTTTTGGCAGTGATGCCAGGGGGGTTTGAACTATTTCGAAACACTCTTCTTCCTATCCTTCCAAATATGCCAGATGATAGATGTAAAAACAATTGGCCATTCAATTCCTTTCCATTTTTCTTTTCTTTTCTTTTTTTAGTGATTCTTAAGGAGCCAATTATGGAGATCATTATCAAGGGAGTTCAGTGTCCAGTTGTTTCCTACAAGAGCTCTCCAGACTACCAGTGCTTTGGAGCAGTCTCTTAGGATATGTAAAGTAGACTCACAGTGGACTTTACATCTTTCACAAGTAGCATCATTGGTCATGTTTCTAGTTGCTCTGAGGTGATTAGATAAGATTCTATCACTTTGAACAAGCTAGAGGAAAAATTTTAGCCTTTGTGGAATTTTCATTTGCCAAATCCAGTCCCAATTCAAGTTCAACAGTTTATTGCCCTCATTAGATTTAGTAATCCATTTATGTGTAGTACACACAGAGAAATTACCGTTTTTAGAGAGTCCCCAACATGGGACGTCAATCAGATCACTATCAAAGGGGATACTAGTGAGCTGAATATCCGAGATAACATGGGGGGGGGGGGGGGGGGGGGGAGGAGCATACTTGGGTGATTCAAGTTTCAGTTACCTGAGAGGTCGATGAAGTTTGCCACTGTTGTGTTGGGATCAGTTGTGGTTGGGACCTGCATTCTGTTTGCAATAGAAGTATCTCCACACCACCAATTAGTCCAAAAGGTATGTTTTGACCATTTTCAATGAGCCATTTAGTTCCTTCCTTAATAAATTGTCTTGTTTTAAGGATAACTCTCCAGATTGTGGACCCATTGGTTTTTGCTCCCACATGGTGTCTTTGTTCTCCTTGACTTTCCAGCCTAGCTTAGCGAGAGTGGCTAGATTGCTTTCTCTTGACTTTCTGAGGCCTAGGCCTCCTTTTTTCCTTAGGTTTACAGACAGTGTCCCACTTTATGAGGTGCACCCTTTTCTTTTTATCTGTATCCCTCCACAGGAAATTCCTATTGACTTTTTCAATTTTCTCAATTGTGGGAGCCAGGTGGTCTGCATGGTGTAATTAGGGAAGGTGGAGGTGACAGATTTAATCAGCGTTGTTCTCCCTACCATGGAAAGGTTTTTGGCCTTCCATCCACTAAGCTTTGCTTAGACTTTTTTAACCAGGTAATTATAGGTATTCTTGTTGGTTCTTTGATGAAGTATTGGGATTCCTAGGTATTTACGTAGGTCTTCAGTTAAAGGCAGACCACTTATTCTGCTAAGGTTCCTAACTCTACTTTTGGGAATGTTTGGTGAAAAAAATACCCTGGATTTAGTCAAACTAACTTTCTGTCCTGAGATAGAACAGAACTCTTCTAAGACTTCCTTAATCATGTCACAGTTCCCTTCAGTAGCCCTGGAGAATAGGATGATATCATCCGCAAAAAAGAGGTGAGTGATTGAAGGACCGTTTTTAAAAGTTTTAAATCCTTTCCAAAGCCTGTCTCCAACTTTTTTTATTAATCAAATTGGCCCAGCTTTTCCATGCAAAGTGTGAAGAGGTAGGGTGACTGTGTGTGAGAGAGTGAGAAAAGACGATAAGTGCAGATGATTTCTACAAGGTCATGTGTGCAATGGTTCCTTTATACTTTGCAATGCTGGTTGCATATGCCTCGGTGAAATGGTGGAAGATATTCACGCCGGAGCAGTGCTCCAGCATCAACCGTTTCGTGGCGATTTTCACTGTTTTGGTGCTGTCCTTCCATTCACTACAACAAAAATTATTTTTTGCGATAATTTTTTTCATCGCTAAAGTAAAAAATATCGTCACCAATTATTTTTTGCGACGTCTTTTTTTTGTCGCGTGTTCGTTATAATAGTCTAGTCTCAAAAAGTATTTTTCGACGTAAATTTATTTTCATTGCAAAAACAAAATTTGCGACGAAAAAAAAAACTTTGCGAAAATTTGAAAAAACGTTGCTAAAATCTATTCCACCAGTGTAAAAAAATAAAAAATAATAATTTCATTAATTTTTTGAGGGGTAAAAAAATCGTCGAGAATAATTTTTTACATAAATAAAAATGTAAATAATAATTTAATTAATTTTTCGCGACAAAAAAAAATTGTTGCGAATAATTTTTTCATAAATAAAAATGTAAAAAATAATAATTTAATGGAAAAATTTCAATCACACCCCTTGTAATTTACCATATCTTCACGGACACCCCCTCTAATTTTTGAATCTTCAATGACACCCCCTATCAGGTGGAATACAATTTTACTAAATTACTCATAATATATTTGAGGATAAATTTTATCCACACCCCTTTTAGATAAACATATCTTCAATCAGACCCCCTCTAATAAGTATGTTTTCAATAAGACCCCCTCTGTTTTCTAATTTTTTTTATGTAATTAAATTCAAATAGATTAAAATTCGATTCAAGCTAATTAAAATTTGTGCCAATTAAAAATTATATTTTTTTTAAGTATTAGAATTTGGATTAATTAAAATTTTGTTTATATTTTTTTTACGTATTAGAATTTGGGTTAATTAAAATTTTGTTTGAGCCAATTAAAAATTATTTTTAATCAACTCAAATCAAATTTTATTAATTCGCATTGAGTTTTAATCAACCTAAATTTTAATATATAAAAATATATGAATTTTAATTGACTTAAATTTTAATAAATCTAATTTTAATTGACACAAATTTTAATAAGAAAAAAATATAAATTATAATCGACTTGAAAGAGAATTTTAATCGGCCCTAACAACTCGGATAGAGTTTAAATCGGCTCAAATTTTAATATGTAAAAAAAATAAATTTAATAGGCTCGATTTTTTTAAAAAAATTTACTAATTAGTAAATAAAAATTAGTATTTACTAAAAAATTATTTATAAAAATTGTTATTTATGATTTTTTTTTTAAATTTTAACAGCTCAAATTTTAATAAAATTTTATGTAAAAAAATTACTTGAGGTTATGTAGGGTTATTTTTGGTATTTTAGATGAATTTATTTTGTTGGAAACAATAGTTTAATTGTAAGGGGTGTTAGTGATGTTTAAATTAAACTAGAAGGGGTGTTATTAAAAATTCAAAAACTAGAGGGGTGTCTTTTGAAGATATGATAAACTAGAGGGGGTGTCATTAAAATTTTTCCTAATTTAATTAATTTTTTCCAACGTAAAAAAATCGTCGCCAATAATTTTTTA